GATCACCAAACTTGACTGGATGTTGGAAGCACCTGTGGAGCTCAGGCTCCTCCCCTGCCATGCCTGATCCTGAGGCACTCTTAGTACTAAGAAGTTTCCAGTTCTTATTAATGATTCTAATGGGCAGCCACATTTGAGAACCACTGCATTGGATGACACTGGGCCCTATTTGAAAACAAAGCACACAGAGTAATGCTCTACAGGGCTCTGCTGCTTGCTTTCTGTTTTAAAACTCAATTTCATGGCTTAGAGAGTCTGGCCACACAGACGGATGACCTCCAGATCGCTGCCTAGCATGGCTGGATTTCCCCAGTGTCCCCAGCACATGTTATCACTTAGTGGCCAGAATAGGACTTCTGCCCTCAGGAAACTGGGGCTTCCAAGTGCAGTTAAAATACACTTGCTGACAAGGCTGTAGCAAGTCAGGCCCCTCCTGTGTGAGCTTGTGCTGAGGCAAGGAAGGAAGGTGAAGCACAGAAGTGCTGTTTTTCTTTCTTGTAGTTTCCAGAATGTATAGGTGCAGTTTCTGAGCCAGTAACAAACTAAGAACTTCTTGTATGAGTGAAGCTAACCCTTTGGTCATCAGAAGCTGGTGTTTTAAACTGCTGAAAAGCAATGAGGCACATCTCACTTACAGGTTAATAACTGACTATGTCAACTGACTATGAGACATGGGTGTCCCAAATGGTCTTGGAGATATTGGGCCTGAGAGACAACACCAGAGCTGCCTCCCCATGCCCCCACACATCTCTCTCCACCTGAAGCCCACTCAGTTCTTTTTGCCAAGTGACCAGTATGTGCTAACAAAGCCTGGGACACTTTCTCATAGAAATGTATTTCAACCCCATGTAACCAGATTGATTTTTTTTTCTGGCTAATTTAGATTGGTCGACTGATTATTGGACAGAATGGCATCTTGTCAACGCCTGCTGTGTCCTGCATTATTAGAAAGATCAAGGCAGCTGGTGGAATCATCCTGACAGCCAGCCACTGCCCTGGAGGACCAGGGGGAGAGTTTGGAGTGAAGTTTAATGTTGCCAATGGAGGTATGTGGTTCAGAATATGCCTTAATTGTCATGATTTCTTTCCTCTTATATCATGATCTTACAATGACCCCATGATGTCAGATAAGCTAGGCAGAGAGTGAATGGCTCAGAAAAGTCTAGTGAGGTACCTGTAATAGTCAGGGTTTTCCAGAGAAGTAGAACCAATAGGACATATAGATTGTCTCCAACTTAGGATGGTTTGATTCAGAGATTTTTTTTTACTTTACACTTTATAGTGTAAAAGCAATATGCATTCAGTAGAAACCTGTTTCATTGGAATTTCAAATTTTGATCTTTTCCTCGGCTAGCAATGCTGTATAATTCTCTCTCGTGATGCTGGGCAGCACGTGCAGCTCATACCCGACCACAAGAGTAAACAACCAGTACATTTACAGCCACTCTGTACCCATTCAGCTCAGTTGGTAAAGAATCTGCCTGCAGTGCAGGAGACCCTTGTTCAGTTCCTGGGTCGGGAAGATATGCTGGAGAAGGGATAGGCTACCCACTCTAGTATTCTTGGGCTTCCCTGTGGCTCAGCTGGTAAAGTATCTGCCTGCAATGTGGGAGACCTGGGTTTGATGCCTGGGTTGGGAAGATCCTCTGGAGAAGGGAAAGGCTACCCACTCCAGAATTCTGGCCATGGACTGTATAGTCCATGGGGTCGCAAAGAGTCAGACACAACTGAGCGAGCTTCACTTTCACTTTGCACCCATTCTGTTTTTCTCTTACAGTTCAATAAACTAAATTAATTAAATGAGATACTCAGCACTTTACTATAAAACAGGCTTCAGGATAGATGATTTTGTACAACTGTAGACTACCAAGGTGTTCTCAGCACTCTTATGATAGGCTAGGTTAAACCATGGTGTTAGATGTATTAAATGCATTTTTGACTTATGATATTTTCAGTTTACAATGGGTTAGTCAGAATATAACTTGTTGTAAGTCCAGGAAGATCTAGAAAGAGATTTATTTTAATGAATTGGCTTATGTGTTTATGGAGGCTATGAAGTCCCAAGATCTTTCCAGGAGAGTGGATGATGTAGTTCTGATCGGAGTCTGAAGGCCTGAGAAGCAACAGAGCTGATGGTGTAAGTTCCAGTCTGAGTCCCTGTCTGAAAGCAGAGTGGGGCCAGTGTGGCAGGTGGAAAGTGAATTCTCCCTTCCTCAGTCTTTTTGTTCTGCCCGTGCCTTTGGTAGGTGGGGTGAGGCCCAGCCATGCTGCGGAGGGAGGTCTGCTTCACTCAGTCTGCTGTCAATCCCACCCAGAATCACCCTCACAGGCATACTCAGAGTAACGTTTAACTGAACGTCTGGGCTTTCTGTGACCCAAGCAAGCCGGCACGTAAAATTAAGCATCATGTTGCCTCAGGTGATGTGACAAGGAAGGGGCACAATGGGGTCTTATACCCATTTGGTCTCTGGGTCGCCTGCTCTCCTCAGCACAGTGCAATGGTTGAATATTGATGTTTATCTGACATGGAAGGACCCCAGATTTTAAAGTTGAAGCAGACCCTCAAAGTCATTTAGATCATTCCCATCATTTTACAAATAAACAAATCAAAGCCGTGAGAGGCTGTTGGCTCAAGGTCACATTGTCAGACAGAGGACTTTGTAGCATAAGTCCTACATTCTCCCTTTCCTATAGTGTTGACTTTCTCTTACTAACCTGCTTAGAATTATTTCACTTTTTCTTGTATTTATAGAAATTTATAGTTTAGAAGGGCTTCCCTGGTGGTAAGCCAGTGTTAAAGAATCTGTCTGCAGTGCAGGAGACTAAGGAAATGCTGGTTTGATCTCTGGGTCGGAAGATCCCCCAAGGAGGGCATAGCAACCCACTCCAGTATTCTTGCCTGGAGAATCCCATGGACAGAGGAGCCTGGTAGGCTACAGTCCATGGGATCACAAGAGTCGGACACAACTGTAGTGAATGAGCATGGACAGTTTAGAAGTTCTAGTGGGGTGGGGTATGTGTATAAGGGTGAATTAAAACATTTTTAAACATGTATAAAATGTAGGGTAGGAAGGATAATAATAAATGGATACCATATATTCATTACTCTGTTTATCCATTTTGCTTTTTTTCCCCTAATGACTTTGCTGAAGGCTTAAATATTTCTGACTACATCTCTTTAAAATAAAGATATATTCCTGTATAACTACATGGTCACACCTAACAAAAATCATAGTAATTCTCTAATGTAATCTAAAATCTCATCTATATTTAAAATTTTCTGAGTGTCCCCCAAATGCTGTTCACATCTGCTTTGTTAAAACCAAGTTTTGTCCCAGAACCATGCGTTGCATTTGGTTTTTAAGTTTCTTAAATCTCTTTTAGTCTAGAACACTAAGTCTTCATGTATATGTGGGTGGGAGCTGAAGTTTAACCAACAACTGTTGCCGTTATGAAGCATTCCTGGCCCAGGCACAGTAGCACATCTTGAAAGGGAAGTACATGATTGCCCCCTCCTTGCAGCCATTTTGGATATTATTCAAAGAAAGAATGTTACTCATGTGAAGTGTTTAAAAAAAACCAAAAACCTTATGAAGAGCCTTATTTTTGAAGGTATGATTCAAGAAACCCTGCTTCACCAAAAAGCACACCTTGGGCCAATATTTAGTCTTGCAGAAGCTACTGAATATTTCAGGAAAAAATATGCAAAGCGCAGGTATTCTATATACTTATAGGACATTTCATGTACTCAGAATATGGCAATGAAATGTAATATATAAGTAACATAAAAGTTGCCAAACTAAATAATGTATTTAAACATTTGAATTAATATCTGACTGAATATCTTAGAATCTCAGTCATCTCTGTGATAATTTGTGAGGTGTAAAAGGAAAAGATACTATTTAAGTAACCTTTTTTAGACTGAATTGCAGGAGGTTATGAGACTTGCTCAGGCATGTCCTGAATAGGTGAAGGGGGTTGAATTTATCATTTAGCCTTTAACTATGTTGAAAGTCCTTCTTTTTACATTTATTTCTTCATGTTTACATGTCTTGGCGTCATTAATGAGACTAACATTCCTACTAGCATGGAGAGATTCAGTTGGCTTCTTCCTGCTTAGAGTGAGTTTGATCATGACATCTTTCATCTGAAGTTGCAAGTTGCACACAGTCATCTCCTCCATTGAGTGTCATACAGATACATCTCATGGAATAAGTTAAAAGGCAAAATGTCTGCAGAGTTAGTAGGTACGTCCAGAGAAATAGGATGCATCTAAAACTATGTTGCTTTTAAATTATTGATAGAACAGGACTTTTCTAAGCATGTTTGTAAATAGGGGGGAAGATGCTAGAAGACAAAAGGAATCAATAATAAAAATACTTTTTTAAATACTTAGAGTGTGCCACGCTACATACTCAGAACTTTACATACATGTTCTCATTTAATTCTCATAACAGTCTGATGACGTCACTGAGGAATAAAAGTGGCTTAAAAAACTTGACCAGTATCACAGAAGTCATAAGTTGTGGAGTTCATTTGGAACCTAGATTCCAAGAAGTGGGCAGAACTTCTGAGTGAAAAGGCAGAGCTGAGGGAAAGAAACATCTAGAGAGGTGCAGAATGGAAACTTTGGGAAATAGTTGCTTATACCTCTTGTAAAGGAAGAGAAGGAAATGTTGCCTGTCAGATCAGTCAGTCCTAAGGAAAAGGAAATCAGTCCTGAATATTCATTGGAAGGACTGATCTGAAGCTGAAATTCCAATACTTCAGCCTCCTGATGCAAAGAACTGACTCCTTGGAAAAGACCCTGATGCTGGGAAAGATTGAAGGCAGGAAGAGAAGGGGATGACAGAGAATAAGATAGTTGGATGGCATCACTGACTCAATGGACATGAGTTTGAGCAAGCTCTGGGAGTTGGTGATGGACAGGGAAGACTGGTGTGCTGCAGTCCATGGGGTCGCAAAGAGTCAGACATGACTGAGCAACTGAACTGAACTGAAGATAATGGAGCAAAGATAGTGAAAGGACTTGGGATAATTGGAGATGTTTTCTAAAATGTCCTCTGGGGAATTTGTTGAAGATACCTGAGGAGTTGTAGGGTCAAGGTGAACTTAAGCAGCCTCATTCTTTGGGGTAACCAGTTTGGGTTATTTCATGACTGCCTTCAGCAGCACATGGGAGTCTGGTAATGGCAGCAATGGAGCAAATGATGGCAATGGGGAATGACAGTGTGGGCAAGGCAGAGCAGCAAGAGAGCTGGTAGTTGTTAAGAGTGTCTGAGTTGACATTAGACTCTTAGGATTCACACTCGCCCTCTGTTACACCAGTGATGTGACCTTGCTTAGGGTCATCTCTTCCAAGTTCAGTTTCCTTATTTGGAAAATGAAGATATTAATAGTTCTTACTTCATATACTTTTTGTGTGTGCTAAATTCCACATAAGGCGTGAAATGTGTTATGTGTAAATTTCAACAAATGTTGGCTTGTCTTATTATGCTAACAATGAACGGGAAGGCTCAAATGCTAGACCATAGGGTCCTTCTGGGATAAGAAACCAGTGAAATGAGAATGGACTGATAGTCTGGGAGTAATCAAGTGATGATGGACTTCAGTATAGGAATGAGGAACAGGTTCAGCACAGGTATGGAGTAGGAGTAGGGTAAATGGAAGATTAGGAATTTGTGGAATGAAGATACTCAAATTTTATATTTTTGAAATAAGAATTTCAAGAGACAATTCCTGGCATGACTGTACTAGGAACTGACTTAAATGAAGAAGGAAGTTATTGGAGCAGAAGATGTTAAGAACTGGGAAGATGTAAAAAGATACAAAGGATTTTGATGACCTCAGAGGGTATCAGCATGGCTGACTGAGCACCATCTAGCTGGTTACAACTTGTTTTACTTTTGGAAATCAGTGTGCTTTGGCATAACTCAGACAGAGACTTTTAAAATGTGATGGAGATATCCCAAGAACATAACATGGTGCCTGGGAGCCAGAGGGATACTCACGGATCATCTGGCAAGCATAAAAAAAATTGCAAAGTTAAGTAACTCTATTTACTTTTTTAAGTTTTGCAAAAGAATGAAAAATGTAAGGAGTGAAGTTGAGAAGGACTATGTTTATTTCTTTGTGGTCTTCACTTTTCCTGTAGAAGAACATGGGGGTATTAAAATATATTAGGCTTTTTTCCATCCACTGAAATGGTGCTATTGCTATTCCTTTCCCCTCTCTTCATTGAGGTGTAATTGATATATTAAAAGCCTGTACATATTTAATGTATGTAGCTTGGTGAGTTTGGTCATTATTCATTTTTATATGTTCAAGAAACCTTTTTTGGGGGTGATAACAATGATATGGGCTTCCCTGGTGGCTCAGTGGTAAAGAATTCTCCTGCCAATGCAGGAGACTCACGTTTGATCTTTCGGTCGGGAAGATCCCCTTGAGAAGGAGATGGCAACACACTCCAGTATTCTTGACTGGACAATCCCATGGGCAGAGGAGCCTGGAGGGCTACAGTCCATGGGGTCATGAAGAGTCAGACATAACTTAGTGACTAAAACAGCAGCTACCATGCTATATTCTAAGGCAGCACTGTCTAATAGAAATATATTGTAAGCCATACATGTAATTAAAAATTTTCTAGTAGCCACATAAAATAGTAGAAAGAAGCAGGTGAAATGAATAAAATATTTTATTTCACTTGATGTATCGAAAATATTATCACTTCAACATGTTACTATAAAATTATGACTATATTCTGGTTTTATACTAACTCTTCAAAATTTGGTGTGTATTTTATAATTATAGCACATGTCAGTTTAACTAGTCCTATTTCAAGTGTTCAAGAGCCACATGTGGCTAGAGGCTATTGAATTGGACAGCATAGTTCTAAGGGCTGGGATAGAAGAGAAATCAAGAAACAGTTGCAGTTCAATAGAAAATTATAATGTAACTAGTGAGTGAGATCAATACACAAAGCTATCTATCTGTCAATCATTTATATTTTAGATCTTCAATCTACTTATTTACTTGATTCCCAGACTTATTGCAAAAAATCCAAAGTAGCTTGCAATAAGATATAAAAATTGAAAAAGGGAACAACTGTTGATTTCATGTTCAATTCATTTAAAGCCTATCACTTGACCTTAATTGTCAACTTGACCTTGTGAAGATGTGCATCAGATATTTTAAACTTCACTTTGAAAAGTTGGGAGTCACTAGAGAGTATGAGTTGGGAAAACTAATGTACCCTGATCAACTTACACCCCAAATAGGCAGCAGACCTGGGAGTAGAAGTCATACTTTCTTTCTCTACGTACATTTGGGAGGCTGCAATTTAACTCTGGAGTCCCTCACTTCTGTCAAATGCATATCCTGTTTGTGTCTCATATCCTGAATAAAGCTGATGACATAACTGGGTCTCCCTGGCAGGTGTGCAGCTATTTTTAGAGAAGACATCTCATGCTTAAAAGTGGATTAAAACAAAGCAACACGTGGGTTATTAGCTTGCATGGAACAGGTGAGGCTGGCCCTGTTTCCTCCAGAGTGAATGGATAAGAAATACTGAAGCCATTTGAACTGTGAACTGTTGACTGTTGTCTAGAACACAAAGAAGTCTTTCTCCTGCTTGGTGGAGGAAGAGTTAACATTTCTCTGATTTATTTTTTATGCAAATTTATTTTTGGTGGTGCATTATTTTCCAATTTTAGGTCCTGCTCCAGATGTCGTCTCAGACAAAATCTACCAGATCAGCAAAACAATTGAGGAATACGCTATATGCCCTGATTTGCGAATTGACCTGTCTCGACTAGGAAGACAAGAATTTGACCTGGAGAACAAATTCAAACCATTTAGAGGTAATTGGGAAATTGTATTTTGAAGAAAATTAGAACTCTGTGGATGGAGGTGACATTTTTTCTTCAGGGGAGAGCACACACACAAGTGATGGAATTATCAATTTTAGGAGTGGCACTTGATAAATAGATATAAACTGAGTGTGGTGTGGAGGGAAATGAGAGCAGCCAAGATATTTGGAACTGGCAACTTTCAACAACTACTTTCCAAACTATCATTTTTGACATAGGGAACATTTCACGGCTGACTCTTTTACAGTGTTCCAAGAATAGACTGTGAATTGCCAACACATGTCTTTACTTTTCGAAGCAATTAAGGTGAAGATGCTGAAATACTTTAGATAATTAAGAAGAGACGTAAAAGGTAATGGAGTTATTAAAATTTCCTATGGAAGATAGTCATTTCTTTTCCAAGCTAGGATCATGCAGTTTATCTTGATTCAATTCATAGTTGACCACCTGCTCTATACCATGCTCCATGATAGAAGATTTTACAAAGGAATTCACTAAGTACCAAATGGATTTAGGAAAATGGTTCAAAAATTAAAAACCAGGATGAAGTTGCCAAAAATATTATCCTGTATGGTAGAGTGAATAAAACTTCTAAGTCCTCAGATTATAACCTTTCAATTTGTAGATTAATATTGAACCATGTAATAAAATTAATACCAAGTAAATGCATATCATTTTTCACCCTCTATTTTATCCTGTTGCTTTCTCCTTCAAGGCATACAAATAGCAATAAAACAAACTTTTTTTTTAAACTCCTTCAGTGCCCCTATCAGCCTAAATCCAGTTTGTATTAAGATGGTATCCTTATTTTACAAGTAATTTATTTAGTTCAAAAGGTGAAATACCTAGTTCATGGCCACATGGTATTTTAGGGACAGAGAAGAGCTTGAAATGTACTATTTGGAGACACAGTGTTGGGCCAGCTCTATCAGTTTTCTTGGAAGATTTTGAGGCAATTGCTTGCTTAGCTTGTGAGCAGAAGTTAATTGAAAGCCATGTGATACTTACAGGATGCAATGATTCCTGATTTTATTAATCTAGTTGGGAGTATTCATATACACAGTGGCTTGACAACTAAAAGCAAGGGATATTTTACGTTAACTAAGTGATTTAAGTATACTTGATTACATATGTTTGGATGTACTGGAAAATAAGATGACAGAAAAAGCAGGTATTATTATATTATCAGGAAGAAATTTTGTTGGTTGATTGAATCTTCACAGTTGTACTAGTTGTTCAAGAGACCCAGATCTTTGGTGGCTCAGATTCAGGCCCACTGTTTCAGCTACATTGCTCACTTGGTGAGTTTTCTATAGGGTTACAGACACCACGAGGTAGAGGGAGACATTTCCTGGTCTCAAGAATTTGAAAATGATTGGGATAATTTATGTGCTGTGTTCTTGCTGTTTGAATGTTGAGCAAGACTTCAGTTAATTGGAAACAATTTAGTCTTTGGCATTTCATCTTAAAGGATGAAGAGCAAGAACTATGTGATGTGACCTTTCAGTTTTCATGGAAATCTATTTGCTTCCTTGTTTTTTACATTTTTGTTGTGATATTAATGCTATTTATCTGCTATAAATACCAAATGTATTTAGGCAAGTAGTTCAGGAGTTAGACCCAGAATGAAATTGCCAAAAACATTATGCTATATTGTAGAGAGAGTAAAACTTCAAACATATTCAAGCCATAACCTTTCATTTTATAGATTAATTTTTTATTGTGATAAAATATATGTAACATATACTATGTTAATAATTTTTAGATGTGTTTTGCATAAACTTTTTTTTGTTTGTTTTGTTTTTTGCATAAACTTTTAATTAATTTATTTTATAGATTAGTATGGGCTTCCCTGGTGGCTCAGTGGTAAAGAATCTGCCTGCAATGCAGGAGACGCAAGAGATGCAGGTTTGATTCCTGAGTCAGGAAGAGCCTCTGGAGAAGGAAATGGCTGCCCACTCAGTATATTTTTGCCTGGAGAATCCCATGGACAGAGGAGCTTGGTGGGCTACAGTCTATAGGGTCGCAGAGTCAGACATGACTGAGCATAGATTAATATCCTCCTCCTATCAGAGATGATTAAAAACTATTTGTATTCTTGAAGAAGTTATTATATTTGAACTTGATTTAAGTGCAATGAAAGTATTTTTAGTGTGTATTTGGCCAGATGAAAGGATAGTTTCATGTTACATATAAAATCTCACCCACTAAATACTGCACCTGGATTTACTAAAAATTATTGAAGGTGGATTGGTAATATCTTTAGTGCAGGTTTAAATGTTTCAAGGTTACAAAGTAGTATGTGTTTGAAAAATTTTAACAACAGCATAACATAAGTTTCAAAATTTAACTACAAATTACAAAAGCAGAGCTCATGGACAAATTTTAGCGCCTAAAATGAAATACTTATTATTTCTTGGAAAAATATTTTCTGAGTACTAATTTTGTACCAATCACCAAGTTTGAAAAGTGTGATGTATTCTGGGTTTTATGAATCGGAAATAAATGGAAAAGACTTGATTTGGTTGTCTGGTCATTAGGTGGTGCAGGAGAGCATGTGTGTTTAATGAAGATTTCTAAATACCTGGCACTCATCTTGAACCTGGTAATAGACTGGGCACACGGGAGACTTTACACAAACTCAGAAAAATATCTTTTATCACCAATTCAGAACCTGAATCTGCTTGGTACCATGGCATTTAGAAAGTAGGGGTCACTGCTGAGGTTACTTCTTGATTTGTTTCAGGCCAGCTGAGTCATTTTTTGGCCAGTCCCCACAGGAGAGGCAACCGGTTTTGCCAAGATGCCTCTTAGCATTGAGGTGTTTGCAGTTTGTGGGAGGGAGTGGTGGAATGAAGAGAGTGGGGACAATAGGCATAGTTTTATCTTAATTTATTCTTGTGGTTGATTTTTCACTTGCAAAGAAGAATTTGCAACTTGATATTTTTTATACCAGTTAATCACCTGGAAAGTTTGTAGCATCTTGATTGTGCTTCGTGATTTTGTCTGCAAATGGACACTTTGCTTCCCGTGTTAATGTGTGGGGTTATGATGGGATTGTGATCAAAATTTCATGCTTTTTTATGCTTCCAAGAATCCCTCATGGTGGTCATTGGTGTCTCCTTTGGCTTTTCTATCCTTAGTGGAGATAGTGGACCCAGTGGATATCTATCTCAACCTCCTTCGGACCATTTTTGACTTTAACGCCATCAAGAGTTTGCTGACTGGGCCTGGCCAACTGAAGATCCGAGTTGATGCCATGCATGGAGGTAAGCGTGTAGTCTTCTACCAAGTGGTGAACAAGAAATGGTAAAGGAGACCTCAATGTGTGTTGGGTTTCTGGGATTATGAGGAAGGTTGAATTCATAGATATTCACATGACATGTGTATGTTCAGATAGATATGTGGGATATTCTGGAAGGCTTCAGGGCTTTGATCTCTCTTTTTTGATGCAACTGAAAAAAAACTGGAGCATATGATTTTGAGGCTATGCCTGTTAGAGTGTGGAGTGGAAATAGCAAAATTGTAAATTAAAAAAAAATTTTGATCACAGTACATAGTTGAAAAAGTCAGATAGTTCAGAGCTTGCTATGAAAAAAATCCTTCACAACTCCTTTCCCCAATTTTCTACTTTCCAGGGGCAGTCTTTTTTTTTTTTTTTTAGGTATTTATCTCCCTATTACTAAGTACTGTGAATATACTGCTCCTTGTTGATTTTTCAGTTTGAGCTGTTACGACTTCACACTATGGAAGATGAATCTGTAGTTCTTTTTCACCATCTCCAGTCGCTAAATCTAAGCACACTTCCTTAAACAAGTTATATTATCATTTTGGTAAGATCAATATGCAGTGTCTAGACTAATCATAACATGGTTGAGCCATGCAAAATACTGTAGTTATATTTTCCTTTCAGCACAGCTTTTTTACTTCTTTGGAATTAGTAATCATCTTGTTTTCTCTTTACTTAGTTTTTGTGAAGTGTATTTATCACTATTAACTCTCATATGAGTCTAGTGTCAAAACCTCTCACTTCATTCCCCTGGAGACCTGGAATGCCCTCTGTCTGCACTGGCAGCGCTCTGAGCTGCTGTTGTCCTGAAATCTCCACTTAGCATCATCCTGTAATTCCTTTTACCCCTTTCTTATGTTGACTCTCTTATTTCTGGGTCCTTTGCCTTTTGCTTTCTTAATTTACTCCTACATTTTGGAGGAACACATTCTCCAGTTACTCTGTGAGAGAGAGAGCTCATGGGAGGTGAATGTTTTGAGTCATTACATGTCTGAAAATGCCTGTTTTCTATGCTCATTCTGAATTAATAATTATCTGAATATAAAAATCTAGGTTGGATATTATTTTCCTTCAAAAGTTTGAGCGAATTGCTCCATTAGTCTTGTAGCCATTCCTACCAAACTCGAGAAATCTGATGCTATTCTGATTTTTAATTCATGTTTTGACGTTTCTTTTTTTCTTTTCTGGAGGGTTTTGGGGCCTTTGATATGTGTTCAGTGTTCCTTCTTTTCACAGTGATGAGTCTGAGTGTGGGACTACATTTCTCTATTGTGCCAGGCACTTGGAGGATCCTTTGAATCTAGAAACTTATGTCCTTTCATTGGGGGAAGTTTTCTTGCATTACTTCTTGGATGATTCCTCCATTATTTTCTCTTTCCTTTCTCCATAATGGCTATTGTTTAGATATTGACTCTACTGGACAGATCTTTTAATTATCCTATTCTTTCCCCCAACATCCATTTTTCTTCTCTTTGTTTTGTGCTACTTTCTGGCAGATTTCCTCAATTTTAGCTCTAAGTCCTTCTGTTGTTTTTCAGTTCTACTATCATATTTTTAATTTCCAAAGACATTTTTTTTTTGTTTTCCAAATAACTCTTTTTTGAAATAACTTCCTATTCATGTTTCATGAATACCGTATCTTTTTTTTAATAAGTCAGATGTACTGAGGTATCAAATTTATTTGCAGTAAAGTTGATACTTTGTTGGTATACAGTTTGATGAAGTTGGAAAAACATGTACAGTAATGTAACCACTCTGACAGTCAAGGTTTAGAATATTTCCCTTGCTTCCACAAATTTTTTTGCATCCCTTGAAGTTTTACCTCTCCTCTTTCCCCTAGTCCCTGGCAATCACTCATCTGCTTTTTGCCCCATAGTTTTACCTTTTCCAGAAAGCCATATGAATGGAAACATACAATATGTAGCTGTTTTCTTCAGGCTTTTTTCACTCAGCATAAGGTTTTAGAGATGCATTCATGGTGTTGTATGTATCAGTGGTTATTTCTTATTACTAATGAGTAGTATTCCTTTATATAGATGTACTACATTCTGTTTATCCATTCACCACTTGATACAATCAGGGTTATTTCTAGGTTTTGGCTACTATAAACTGCTACAGACATTTGTGAAAAAGTCTTTATAGGAATATATGGTTTCCTTTGTTTTGGATAAATACCTAGGAGTGAGATTGCTGGGTCATGTAATGTGTATATTGAACTTAATAAGCAATTGCCAAACTATTTTCCAGAGTGACTACCATTTGCACTAACAGCAGAGTATGAAGGCTCCAGTTCCTCTATGCTCTCACCAACACTTGGTATTCTCAGTCTTCAGTTTTATAGCCAGTCTGCCACATCTTCTTCATCTCTGTTAGGATCTGACCGATACGTACTTTAAAAGATTTCTTCTCCCTCTGTAGTTTCTCTTTCTTCCATGATATTCTTTACTCTATTTGTTTTGGTCTCATGTTAAAGAGTGAATTCAGTTCAGTCACTCAATCATGTCCAAGTCTTTGCAACCCCATGGACTGCAGCATGCCAGACTTCCCTGTCCATCACCATTTCCCGGTGCCTTTTCAAACTCATGTCCATCAAGTTGTTGATGTCATCCAACCGTCTCATCCTCTGTTGTCCCCTTCTCCTCCTGTCTTTAAGAATGAGGCACTAAAAATTTTGCTGGGAGCTCTGAGCCGATATGTGGAACTTATCTTCCAAGGGCTTCACTCTAAGGTCTTCCACCTGGGCTGTTTTGTTCTTTCCTATTCAGTTCAGTTCAGTTCAGTCACTCAGTCGTGTCCGACTCTTTGCGACCCGATGAACCGCAGCACACCAGGCCTCCCTGTCCATCACCAACTGCTGGTGTTTACCCAAACACATGTCCATTGAGTCGGTGATGCCATCCAACAATCTCATCCTCTGCCGTCCCCTTCTCCTCCTGCCCTCAATCTTTCCCAGCATCAGGGTCTTTTCAAGTGCGTCAGCTCTTTGCATCAGGTGGCCAAAGTGTTGGAGTTTCAACTTCAACATCAGTCCTTCCAATGAACACCCAGGACTGATCTCCTTTAGGATGGACTGGTTGGATCTTCTTGCAGTCCAAGGAACTCTCAAGAGTCTTCTCCAAGTTCAAAAGCATCAATTCTTTGGCTCTCAGCTTTCTTTAATTTGGTTTATTTTCTATAAAACATCTTATTTACCCATTAGTGTTTCATTGGGTAAGTCTGGTTATTGATACAAAACAGAATTTTCCCCAGATCATTCAAATGAAGACACTCTTATGAAAGGTAACCTTTTAGAGGCGTAGGCATGGCCAAAAGAAAAAATGAAGAATGGTGAGGAACCCAGAAACCAGCAACAGAAGAAACAATGAACATTCCTACTGCTTAAGGAGCAAGTGAGAAAACAGCTTTCCTGAGCTCATAGAGCTGGAGTCATAGAGGGATAACTGTTTCTAGAGTAGTGATGCCAAAGCAGGCAGAGGGCAGGAAGATAGATCCCAAACATGTTATCCTCCTGCTGAGACTTCCCATTGGTTGAGCTCAGCCGGAAGTCAGGGCGCAAGGGAGCCCAAGTGACTGACACTTCTGTAAAGGTCCGCCAACTAGGGCACCAAGCAGAGCAGAGGATGCCATGTGGACTGGTGCATGAGTAGGAAGAAGAAGAATCAGCACATTAATCTGCTTTTCTTATAGCTCCACGAGGACGTTCCTAACACCCCACATTCTACATGGTCTTTGTGTCGTTCTATTTTCTGGTTATAGGGATTCAGATAAGCTCAGTTTNGGTATCTCTAATTTTCTTGAAGAGATCTCTAGTCTTTCCCATTCTATTGTTTTCCTCTATTTCTTTGCACTGATCACTGAGGAAGGCTTTCTTATCTCTCCTTGCTATTCTTTGGAACTCTGCATTCAAATGGGTATATTTTTCCTTTTCTCCTTTGCTTTTCGCATCTCTTCTTTTCACAGCTATTTGTAAGGCCCCTCAGACAGCCATTTTGCTTTTTTGCACTTCTTTTTCTTGGGGATGGTCTTGATTCCTGTCTCCTGTACAGTGTCACAAACCTCCGTCCATAGTTCATCAGGCACTCTGTCTATCAGATCTAGTCCCTTAAATCTATTTCTCACTTCTGCTGTATAGTCATAAGGGATTTGATTTAGGTTGTACCTGAATGGTCTAGTGGTTTTTCCCACTATCTTCAATTTAAGTCTGAATTTTGCAATAAGGAGCTCATGATCTCAGCCACCGTCAGCTCCCAGTCTTGTTTTTGCTGATTGTATAGAGCTTCTCCATCTTTGGCTGCAAAGAATATAATCAGTCTGATTTCAGTGTTGACTATCTGGTGATGTCCATGTGTAGAGTCTTCTCTTATGTTGTTGGAAGAGGGTGTTTGCTATGACCAGTGCGTTCTCTTGGCAAAACCCTATTAGCCTTTGCCTTGCTTCATTCTGTACTCTAAGGCCAAATTTGCCTGTTAATCCAGCTGTTTCTTGACTTCCTACTTTTGCATTCTGGTCCTCTATAATGAAAAGGACATCTTTTTTGGCTGTTAGTCCTAAAAGGTCTGTAGGTCTTCATAAAATCGTTCAACTTCAGGCTGGTTGTATTCTGCAGAAATACAACTTTGGGTTAGTTATATTCTGCAGAAAAGGCTGTTTCTCTTTCTTGCCTTAGCATTATCTGACCTAGAGGGAAGAGAGTTTCTCTTCCCACAGAGTTCGAAAATGGTTTCTGGATTTGAACCTCACTGCCTAGCTTTTACCATGTGTTCATCTCTGAATCAGTCACTCTGGTTGAGGGATGGAGGATACTGATTTGCAGACCTAGGTCACCTCCCTAGTCTTGGGGGAAGTATCAGATTCCAAGAACTGAGATGGAAAAAGGATTGGTTCTCTAAAGAAGACCCAAAATACTGCTATCAGAGGAAAGGAAAAAGGGTGCTGCGCAGGGAAAATGGGTGCTGGGCAGGCAAAATCAAAGTGTGTTCACTGTTTATGGTTTGTATTCTATTAGTTGAAAATAAATGGAAAGCGGTACTTTTATATATTTCAGCCAACAGGATTACATGCTTGTCCCCAAATGTGCTGTATGTTCTACCTCAGACTCCATTCCCTTGCTCACAGTGTTCTTTTCACTTGGATAGCATCCTTAACTCCTGTCAAATTTATATTCTTCCATGTTCTCCCAGAAATGCTGCTCCATTTTGAAGCCTTGCCTATGGTCATTTCTCTTTTAAACTGTTGGATTTCATTGTTTAATAAATACATTATACATCGAATTCAACTAGTCTTACAAGTCCAGTCACTCACCTGCAGATTTGACTCATCCCACTGCCAGACTGAGGGCCCAAACTGAGAGCACTTTGTGTCCTTGGATGCCCTCCATTCTTCACGTAAGAGTTCTGTGTTAGGCACTCCATGAATGTGTGTTGAACTGGAAAGCACAACTCCTTAGTATTTATTTTGTAAAATGTACTTAGTTGTATATGCTTCAGTGGTTGGCAGGGTTTAATTATACACTTGGCAAAGTTAAAACAGCTGTAGAGACAAAGAACATCGCTAGAGCCTTTAAGTGCTTTTGCATATATTTAACTAATGCTTTTAATATAAAAAGTAACAGCCCATGAATTATTATTAGGTAGTTGATTTCTTTTTGGCAGTATTTTAGGAAAGTTTTGGAGAAAAATTTCATGCAACTGGATTACTGAATACAATTTCTATATGCCTAACATAGTCACTGGCACATAGATGCTAAATGAGTGGTAATTGAAGTAACCATTATTCTGTGCTTGAAAAAACTTGTAGAATTTATCTTTTTTTTCCCTTGTGCTATGAAGTAGACGTCTTCTTCTAAGAAGAACAAAACACCCTTGAGGGAGGAGTTCTGTAAAGATCTCACATTGCTGTGTATCTTTTTTAAGTTATGGGACCCTATGTGAGAAAAGTTCTCTGTGATGAGCTGGGGGCCCCAGCCAATTCTGCAATCAACTGTGTTCCCCTGGAAGATTTTGGAGGGCAGCATCCTGACCCCAACCTGACATATGCAACAACCCTTCTGGAAGCTATGAAAGGAGGGGAATATGGATTTGGAGCTGCGTTTGATGCTGATGGGGTAAGGAGGAAAGCTTTCTGCCTGCTGATCGTTTTGCTGTATAATGAGCCAAACACTGGAAACCAGAGAATTGTTGAATACCTCTGGGGCTGACATGTAAGGGGCATACGAACCCTAACTGGCTTTGCATCTGCCCTTCTACTTAATGGCCTAGTATTGCATGTAAATAGCCATTACTTTTCTTTTTCCAAGTAGCAGTATGTTATAAAGAGGTTATTTCTTTAAAAAAATTCATGCAATACATCTTTATTTACGACTAATCTTGTTGAAATCACCATGTTAAGAAAACAGCTATTTTAGTAATAATCTCTGTTCTCCAGTATGTTTGGGAGAAGTGTGAATGAAGAATGTAGAGGCTACTAAAGCCTGAGGAAGTCATCCACATTTCAACAGGTTGGATATTTTCCTAGCGGTGTCAAGATCCTGCACCCTGCAATATTCAGGGATTTTAGTTTCCCATGCCCTCTTTGGCCTCCTTCAAGTGGTTTTCCATTGTTTAAATCTGAGGATGGCAGTAAAGTGCTTGGTGATGATGATGGGAATGGATTGCTAGCAGCAGATGCCTTTGCCTGAACATTTTCATACATTCTTTCCCACAGGACCGTTACATGATCCTAGGCCAAAATGGCTTCTTTGTGAGCCCCTCCGACTCCTTGGCCATCATTGCCGCCAACCTCTCTTGCATTCCATATTTCCGTCAGATGGGAGTCCGAGGGTTTGGAAGGAGTATGCCCACCAGCACAGCCCTCGACAGGTAAGCAGAATGTCACCGTGAAAAACTTCATGACAGGCCTCTGATGTCGTTGTTCCTTCTGCTGGTAGCTCTCAATCATTCTCCCCTCGCACTTTGGGAACTTGTTGAAATTAGAGATATGAGAATTTAAAGACATGATATAGTTAATAGAAGTGTGAAAAATCAGGTGGCCTGAACTGGGTTCTGCTATATCTTAGCTCTTAGGAACTTGGGAGACTTATTTAATTTCTGTGTCTCTGTTTTCTTATCTTTAAAATGAGCATGATAATAGTATTATCCTTACATGGGTTGTATGAGGTAGGAATGAGGTGATTCTTATAAACCATGTAACAGAACGCGTGGTTCATAGTAAATACTTCATAAATGGTAAGAAAACTTACTAAATATGTAAGCAAGGTAGAAAGAACATGAGTCTTAGGATCAGATAATATTATTTTAAAATGCTCACTTATCTCAGGCTTCCCTGGTAGCTCAGCTGGAAAAGAGACCCCGGTTTGATTCCTGGGTTCAGAAGATCCCCTGGAGAAGATCCCCAATCCAGTATTCTGGCCTGGAGAATTTCATGGACAAAGGAGCCTGGCAGGCTACAGTCCATGGGGTTGCAAAGAGTCAGACACGACTGAGCAACTTTTACTATATCATCATTAGTTCTGTAAAAACAGGGAAGGTAAGTTTGTTGTGAGAATGAAGCAAGATACACATGGAAAATGCTCAACAGGAGACTCAGTAGATAACAATCCAAAGTTTCTTACCCTGGCCCTATCCACCCATCTTTTAGCTTATCTTAGGAAACAGTGAATTTCAGAGTCTAATATTTTCAAGCAATGTATATTATTGTGGAAGCAGTATTTGTTCATGCTGGAAAGTTAAAAAACACAGAAAACGAGGAAAATGTAAGCGACTCTGCCTGAGCTGCTTATGTTAATTGATGAATGTATATTCCCTACTGAATCTCTTTATATACATATATAATATATATGCATAGCTATAAATCATATATAACATACATAATATAATATGTATAATATATATTTGCCTTTTTGTGAAACCAAAAAGAGATCTGAAAGTACAAACTGCCTTGTAACATTTTTTTCCCATCAACAGTCTCCAACTTTGTCTTAATACAGTTTTATATCATCTAAAACCAAGGTCATACTCAAATTTCCCCCGAGTGTCCCTGGAGTGTCTTTAATGTATGGTTTTGCCCAAAGCAGCATCCTGTCTAACATCATACATTGCATCTGGTTGTCACATCTCTTAAGTCTTTTAGAATCTAGCACAAGCCTTTTATCTTTTATTTAATGATAACGATTTTTGAGGAGACCAGACCAGTTGTCCTGCAGAATCTCATCTTCTGGATGGTGAAGTTATTTCCTCATGGTATTACCATTCATTCAGTCATTCCTGAAGTAAATTTTATATGAAGTGAATTGAGTTAATCTTAAGGGTACAATTCAATGAGTTTTGGAAAAAGTATACATCTGGGTGACAACCAATGAAAATAAGATATAGAACATTCCCATCACCCCCCAAAGTTCCTCCTTCCAATGCCCAATTGTTGTAATTTCTTCTGCCATATTTAGGCTTTGCCTGTTCTTGAGCGTCACAAAAATAGAATCATATACTACATATTTATTACTAGTTTTTTCATTTAATATGTATTTTTTTATTCATCCGCATTCACTGAATTTGTAACTAGTTCATTCCCCTATGTTGCAGTATAGTATATCAATGTATGAATATATCACAGTTTATTTTTCCAGTATCCTGTTGATGAACATTTGGGTTGTTTTCAGGTATTAGATACTATAAATCATGCCATTATAAGCATTCTTACACGTGTCTTTTTGTGTATACATCTACATTTCCTCAGTTAATATCCAGGAGTAGAATGCTGCCTGTAGGATAGATGTATGTTTAATTTAACAAGAAACTGCCAAACTGTTTTCCATTTTATACTCTTATTTGCAACGTGTGATAGTTCTAGTAACTTCATATCTTCAATAACATTTGGTGTTATCAGTCTTTTTTATTTTAAGCAGTCTAGTGAGTGCAAAATAGTGTTTCATTTTGGTTTAAATTTGTATTTTTCTAGTGATGTTGAGCTCATTTTCATATGCTCATTGTCCATTTGTGAACTTCTTTGTTATGTACCTGTTCGAAATGTATTTGCTCAGTTGAAGGAGCATTGTTTGTCTTTTTGTTATTGATTTAGAGAAGTTCTTTATATATTCTTGGTAATAAGTTTTTTTTTGGCCATACTGCCAGCTTGTGGGATCTTAGTTCCCTGACCGAGGATTGAACCCAGGTCCTCAGCAGTGAGAGGCCTAACCACTGGTCTGCCAGGGAATATCCTGGATAATAAGTCTTTTGTCAGATATATGTATTACAGATGTTTTCTCCATGCCTGTCACTTCCTCATTCAAATTCTTAATTGTGTCTTTTGATGCACGTGAGTTTTAAATTTTGACAGTGTCCAGTTTTTTTTCTTGTATAATTGTGTGCTTAGTCACTCAGTTGTGTCCGACTCTTTGCAACCGCATGGACTGTAGCCCACCAGGCTCTTCTGTCCATGGGGATTCTCCAGGCAAGAATACTGGAGCAGGTTGCCATGCCCTCCTCCAGAGGATTTTCCCAACCCAGGGATCAAACCCAGGTCTCCTGAATTGCAGGTGATTTTTTTACTGCCTGAGCCACCAGGGAAGCCCAGGAATACTGGAGTGGGCAGCCGATCCCTTCTCCAGGGGGTCTTCCCGACCCAGGAATCGAAGCAGGGTCTTCTGCATTGCAGGCAGATTCTTTACCAGCTGAGCTACCAGGGAAGCCCTCATATAAATAATATATACTTTCTTATCCTCTGTAAGAAATCTTTGCTTACCCAAAGGTCAAAAAGATGTTTTTTCCTATCCTTACTTCTAGAATCATTGTAGTTTAAATTTTGTATTTAAGTCTTTGATGATTTTGAATTAATTTTTCTGTGGGTTATAAGGCAGGGGTTGAGGCTTGTTTTTTCCCTATATGCAATTGTTATTGAAAAGAATTTACCTTTCCCTTGATGTGTTTGTTAAAAATCAGTTGACCATATATATGTGGGTCTGTTTCAAGATTATCCCTTCTGCTCCATTGATCTATGGGCTATACCTATGCCAGTATTTCCTTGTGTTGATTATTGAAGTTTTAAAGTAGTTGGTTAAGTCAAATGACCCCCCCCAACTCTTATTTCTTTTTTCTTCATATAGAAAAAATTATATATCTAATGTCCTTTGCATTTCTATATACATTTTAGAATCAACTTGTTATTTTCTAATAGGGCCTATTGCAATTTTGATTGAAATTGTGTTGAATCCACAGAGCAATTCTGGAAGAATTGCATTTCAATAATACTGAGATTTCTAGTCCAGGAATGTGATATATCTCTTATTTTATTTAGTTTTCTTTAATTTCTCTTACATACTTTGTAGGTTAGTTTCTCTTCCGTATATTTTGTAGTTTAGCGTGGAAATCTTTACAATTTTTGTCAAATTGATTCACGAGTACTTTGTATATTTTGATGCTAATGCAAATGGAATAGTTTTATAAGGTTAATTTTCCAGTTGTTTGCCGAAGCTAGTAATTAGAAATATAATTGATTTCTGTAAATTGATCTTTTATTCCTCCACCAGTACGGAGATGAATCAGATGCCTTTTGGATGCCCCCTATGTTACTTCTTTCCCTCAGATGATATTGATGTAAAATCTGTGATGATGAAGCAACCACAGTTTAAAATTCTTGCCTAGCAGCTCCAAAGGGTGAGATGTGTAATTCCATTCTTCCCCCTTTGCCTTGGTTTATATCTTTCCTTTAAAAAAAAACAAAACATGAACTACTTCCCTGGTGTCTGAGACAATAAAGCGTCTGCCTACAGTGCGGGAGACTGGAGTTCAATCCCCAGGTTGAGAAGGTCACCTGGAGAAGGAAATAGCAACCCACTCCAGTATTCTTGCCTGGGAAATCCCATGGGCGGAGGAACTTGGTAGGCTACAGTCCATGGGGTCGCAAAGAGTCGGACACTACTGAGCGACTTCACTTTAAAAAAAAATCAGCAAAACCGTAGAAAGCAAAGCAAAAACCAGACTGTCTCTAGAAATGGAAAACCCAGAGTCACAGAGGATCCTGAGTTCTATGTAGGTTACTTAATATTCTGGGAGGATATATAAGGTGGCTCAGTGGTTGGTAAAGAATCCGCCTACCAGTACAGGAGACTTGGGAGAAATATGAGTTCAATCACTGTGTCAGAAAGATCCCCTGGAAGAGGAAATGGCAACCCACTCCAGTATTCCCTCCTAGAGAATCACATGGTCAGAGGAACATGACAGGCTGCTGTCCATGGGGTCACAAAGGGTCAGAAAGACCCAGCAACTGAGCATGCATGCACACTTATACATAATCTTACAATTTAGAAAGAACTTTCATTTGAACTCACTTGATATTTGCAATAATTTAGAAAGGTACTTGGGTAGACATTACTCTCAGCATATTAAAGATGCTGAACCAATTATCAGAGAGATTAAGTGACTCACAGAAGGTTACACAGCTAATAAGAAAGTGACCTGGAATTTGAAACTATTGCATCTGCCTAGTAACTACAACTTAATCAGGATGGTTTCTGAGAAACCAGTTGCGAATATTGCTCAGCTCTCCCGTGGGGTAGGTAGTCAGCAGCTTCCCAAACCCTGGCCGGGAGGGACCAGTTTCATTATGACAACACAACCCATCTGTGCTCTTTTCTTATGGAAATTTCCCAGTTGTTCTTGGTTTCAGTTTATCCCTCCTTCCCAATGAATCTCTGTTTCAGTCAGAAACCAGAAGCCTTGCTTAGAAAGTTCACAGAGGACCTGTTCTGATATGTAAGTGACCATTTAAAAGGATTATTCATGCTTGCTGGTTGGGATTCAGAATTCTGTGGGCTCTGAAGTGGTGATTTGTTTTGGGTATTTGATCTCTTGTGGAGTCCCTGGTG